TATAAACTCAACTTTGTCACATAATTCACCAACATTATAAGCTTCTTTTCTTGGTATCCTAAAGCCTTAGAATCATTTACTGAATATTAAATAGATAAGTTAACAGTTTTCACATTTCTGTGAGTTTAGCTTCGTTCTCAGCCTCTAAAGATGAAGATCTGCCAGGGAGCATCAACAGCTCATGGTTCACAGAGAGCTCCTTTTTTGGCACTTTATATCTGAGCAAAAATCATTTCTTGATTTAATGCAATGAGCAGCTCCTCAGAATGAAGATTAAAATAATTCAACTTCAGAGGTGAGGAAGAGAAAATCCTTGTTAGGTAGCTGCAGGTTCCAGCTGTGGAAAGATCAGTCGCACCTCTAGAGTTTTGGCGTCACAGCGGCCTAGTTAAAGTTCAGAACTTAATCTGGCAGGTTAACTGAATGTTAAATACAGATATTAGAGACTTTTCAAGTCTGCTACGGATTTAGATTTCTGACCCGATCTAACTCAGTCCAGTCAGGCGTTTCACATTAACCGGCGAACTGTTTATTAACGGTTCCGATTCCAGCAGGAAGACCAGACGCAGCATATTTCTGTACCGTGATGTAAACACAGACACGTGACCAGAACAGCAAAAGGGACTCACATCCTCTTCCTGTTCGTTCATCTCGCTCTCGTTTCCAGATTGCTCCTCGGTGTCGGCTGCACCTTCTTCATCATCGTCGTCGTCGTCCTCTTCGTCCAGCGGCTCCCCTTCGCTCATGGCGCTGGAGCGGCCGTCCTTCTCCATGGCCATGCCTTCGTTAAAACACAAATCGTCAAACACAAACTCTTGCGACGGACATTTTAAACATGGAGGCATCATACTGTTTGTTTCTTTTATTGACAAAACCAAACCTTAAACTTTGACTTTGTGAAACTCTGGGTAGAAAATGAAGCTGCGGCCTGAAGATAAAGATACACATCAGGTCTTGTGTGACTGAAGGACTGAGGAATGTGTGGTTAAAGTATGAGAGGGACACAATGGGCCCCTGTGTATCTATAAGGGGCCTCCATCAATCACTCCTTACTCTGCAACATTCAGGCAGCATTCATGGTGTCACTAAAACACTCGTCCAGCTGTGGAAAGTTACAGAACATAAACACTCAGATCTTTAACAACTAAATTTCTTTTTTCTCCACGTCCACCTTTAGGGGGCCTCGTTCAATAAAAGCTTCAATATTCTTACTGGAACACCTTTTATCTGGAAATTAAAGAGGAGCATTTCTACTCTGAATAGGAAGCAGTTTAAGCTCCTCTGAACACCTGCAGCTCGTTCAGTCATTTTCTCAGAGGGCGGAGCTCACATTTTTCTCTGCATTCCAACCGAACACGATGAAACTGTTGAAACAAAGAGTTTTCATGCTGTCATCGAGCCGCAGAGCCAGATCCACCTGCAGCATAAACGCTTCCTTCTTCCGTTTTTCCCCTCAGCCGGAGCCTTTCAGCCTGAGCCAATCGGCTGGGCTGCAGGAGGAGGATGAACAAAGCTTCATCGGGTTGAGCGTCTCTTTCCTCATATTCATCCGGGGTCTTATGTGAACTCAAAATCACGGCTTATTCCAAGCTCTTGTTAAAAAAACAAAATGAAACATCTGCAGCCCTCTGTTAAGGTCCAAACACAGAATTTCCATTAGGAGGTCTGGACTTGGACTAGGCCGTTTCAAACTGTTGATTATTTTCGTTTTCATTTGTCTCCAGAACCTTCCGCCCTTTGCTACCGTTCTTTTAATCTGTAAAGATTTCGGTTCAGAAAAATGTTGTTTAATTTTTTTTTGGGGGGCAAAAATTGATTTTTAAGACAAATCAATACAAATGTTATGAAATAAGAGTCTCTGTCCCTAATTTGAGCAGGTATGAAAGATGCTCTGCCAATGAAATGATGTGAGAAATAAGAACATTTGGTGATTATAAACTTGATTATCAGAAATAAATGTAATTTTTTCAACTATAAAACTGTCTTACCTGCTTAAATCAATGGAAAAAAAATCTTATTTCAAGAAAAACTAACTTGAAGCTCCCTAAACTGTGTTAGATTACAAATTAAATAACTCATTAAATATCTGCCTCACTGCATAAAAAAGAAATCTCAATAAGTCATTTTTTTCTTAAAATAAGTGCAATTTTTCTTGAATTGAGGAGGTAAGTGAGACACTTTGCCAGTGGAACAAGACCATTTATTATCTAATTATCTTATTTGACGAGTAAAAATACTAATTCCATTGGCAAATAATCTAATTTAACTGCTCAAAATAAGGCTAAATACGCCTAATTTAAGAATTTTTTACTTCTTTCTAGATCGTTTTTGCATAGTTAATTAAAAATGTCCTGAAGTTTTCCTGCTCTAATGTTTCCATCAGACCCACAGGAACCAGTCTGGTTCCCACTTTTATTGCAGAAAACCATCATATTTTAGAGAAACACAGATTTTCACGCCAGGTGAGAACGTAAATCAGTCACATGAGAACTCCTCCTGCCTAAAGGATGTTTGTTTTCTGTCTTGTTGGAGGCCTCGTTATTCTGTGGATGTTTTTTAAGAAAACGTCATTAAATCAATGATGATTTCAGGAGGCAGGAAAAATAAATCTTTACTGGTATGTGGAAAATGTTTGGTGATTAACAGATTCTAACAATAGGAGAAAATTACCTGCTAAAACAAAACGATTGTTTCCATTTTTAAAAGTAATTGCTGCTTTATGTGACGCAACTGATCTAAATAAATCGGAAAAAGTAATTAAATTTAATCTCCAGCGATTGTTCCTAAATCCTGTGAACTGACTGCATCCTTCAGGTGACTCCATGCCTTTGGTATGCAAGTGTTTCAGTGAACCTGCAGATCCAGCAGCCCTCCTACGCAGCAGGGAATGCTGCTCCGCCGGGAGGAAACCGGAGAAACCGGCTGCAGAATCCGGAAACCAATCCTTACCCAGTTTGACGAGCACTTCTCTCTCCAGGTCGGCGACCTGCTTGGTGGCCTCGTCCAGGGAGCAGCTCAGCCTCATCTTGGGTCTGAGCAGCTCCAGGGTGTCGCTGATCATGTAGTCGATGTCGATGGGGAACGGGTGGTCCTTCGTCCAAACGTCCACACTCTTTTTCCACCAAATGTACCTCTGCAGACACAAACGCACGTCGTTTCATGAAATGATCTCCTACTTTCTGTCCACTGGTGGAGCGTTAGGAGCAGACAGACCTGGAAGTAGATCAGGAAGCAGTCCAGCTTCTTCTTGCTGGAGCCGCGGTCGAAGTACTGACCGCAGGTGTCCAGCAGGGTGCAGACCAGGCGGATGCGGAAGAGGTGCTCGGGGGGGTCCAGAGGGCTGGGGCTGCCGTCCTGGTTCACCCCGAAGGAGATGAAGGAGAAGAGCGTGCGGAAGACGACCGCCGATTCCACCATGCGGTAGTTGTAGAGCTCGCCCAGGAACTTGGCGCTGCTGATCCGCCGCTGGTTGAACTTTGGCTGGTTGACCTGAGCGGAAATATGAGGGAGGTTAGCAGAGCCAGTGTGTCTGTCAGACCAGAATACCCATAGTCCAGGTGTAACCAATGAAAATCATCGAGGGTGAGAATAAAGAAAATCATCAACCAGTAAAGATCCGGAGACACTTTTAATTATAATCTGTTACTTTAAACAGAATTTAACACTGAAATAAAATGAACATTTTACGCATCCATGCTATACACGGACTTTTTAGATACAAACAAATATATATATATAAAAAAAAAATCTTTAAATCTATAGTGGTTTTTGAAATAGAGAACAATCGTTCAG